CTTTGTGCTCTTTTTTAAGGCCCACAATCATAGATAAAAAAGTTCAACTTTCAAGTGAAATGGACTTTCCAGACCCATGGCCTAATCAGGCCCTTTGCTCCAAAAAAAATTCAAGCCGAAAAAATACTGGGCCTTAAAGCCCGCAGGAGGCATCCAATAGTCAAAAAGCAAAATCTCAGTCCTCACTTCTCGCAAAAAATACTGGGCCTCATCCTCGCAATTCTCTCCGGTGAGAACTGAACCGTTAATCTCTCTGCCTGCGCCAGAAAATAGTCCGCACCACGTGTTGTTTTTCAACACAAACTAAAAAAAAAGAGTTTAAATATAGAATTTATTAAAATATTATTAATAAATAAACATGGAAGGTAGGTCTTATTAAAAATGTCTGCATAGTAGTTTTTCTACTTAAAAAGACATTTATATAAATATTATCTTTAAAAAATAGTATACAATGTGGACAAGTTTTAATAATTCATAATAAAAGGATAAATATTTAAAATTTTATATAAATAATTTATATAAAAATTGTTTATAAATAAATCTTAATTCACACGTGGGTAGAGAAAATCTTTTAATTTTTGGGCAAGATTGAATAATGTTTATTAAAATTATGAAATTTTAAAATAAAGTTAAAAAATTTATTTTGTAGGCGTTAAAAATGTTTATTATAACTAACTAGTTTTAGTACATTTAGATATTGCAAATTTTTTTTCATATTGGTATTGTCCAACAAGAAAAGATTTATGTTTATCTTCCTCGCACAATTTATTTTTAAAAAGTTATTAACTTTTTTTTAATTATTTTTAATCTTGCGTCAATCTTCTTTCATTTTTTATTTATCTTATCTACATGTCATATAATTTAAATTTAAAATTTTTTATTTTTATTAAAAAAATATTATAATTAAATTATTTAGTTAGTAGGTTTTAAAAATTATTAACTTAATACAAATAACTTAATCCAACTCTTTATCTGTAAGAGTTTACCACCTAAATCCACTTTATATATAAATCATTTTATATTAAAATATTTTCTTTCAGGTTATTTTCTATTTTGCCTGTGAGAAAGAATCTTCGACTAACTTATTTGCAAATGCGATTCAAGATGGCATGTGATTCCAGGTTTATGAAATTAGTTCCTTTTTCAGGTCAACAAATATGATAACAACTAAATACGTAAACAAATAAGAATGGCTAAAGCAAACAAACACACAAAAGAGACAATTTTTACATGGAAAACCTCCTCAAATAGAAGAGTAAAAACTACGGGACTTCTAGTCCATGAAAAATAGCTCTACCATATCAAGAGAGTGTTACAAAATCATCTTCAAACAATCACAATAACAGCAAGAGGAAAGAGAAAACAAGTAATACAACAAGAAAATGGAGAACAAATGAGAAGGAAACAGGTACAGGTTCAGACACTGAAACATATTACAGCGTCCACTTGAAGACACCTTATGAGCCTTAGCGGATTTCTGCCATAGCTTTCCAAGGCAAAGAACAGAGGCACTGAAGAAACAAAGATTCGTCTTATTCTTTAGAAATGAATCGAATCAAAATAAATGAAATGCAAATCAACACAGTTTAATTTGTGCTTCATAATCACTAACTTTTCTTTTGATGTATGTCTTTTTTTCTCGTTCACATTCTCTATCTCTAACTGCTCCTTGCATTTTAGAGAGCGAAGCATATAATCTTGTTCGCATCTGCTTCAAGACATGAATCAAAACGAAAAAAATGAACTGCTACATGCATTCTTGTAAACGTTTTCCTGGTAGTGATACGAGCAGTATGATAAAATATGTCAGAAACAAGAATGAAACAAAATAAGTTAGAACAAAGCAACCTGAAGAAAATGTAATTAGCGTAAAGAAAAGAGAGAATTTTGAGGACAAGGACTTACCAGCTTAGATGAACACTGAAATATACTGAATTCCAGCTCCAATCATTCTGTTTTCATTGCATTCCCCATCTCCTCCTAGATATTAGCAGAGTAAGAAGACAAGGAGTTCTTCAGAAGCTCCCACTAAAATCATTAAAATAGAATTAATAAAAAACTAAACTTTGACTGCAAACCCAAAGTTATCAATTTATAAGTAATCTATTAAGAACACATGTATTATAAAGTAAGAAGACAAAGCACAAGTAAATAAGAACAAAAGTGAGCTCATTTTATCCAATTTGTGCCTTCAGTTTGTGTCATCATAATCCCTTCTTTGACTAAGAGTCCATTATAATTTATATGTATAAGTATAACCAAATAAAAGAAATAGGGAAAAGAAGAAATGAACCCTTCAAAACACACTTGGCACTTACATTTTCTTCAATAAGACTAGCTGAGACGGAAGTTTTGCACTTCTCTGATTAAGCCATTGTTTGATAAATCCCTGAAACAAAACATCTCAATCTGTTCAATGTCGGTGATTCCTAGATGCTTATGGTTGGCCTTTTTACTCATTTCCATCAATTACATCTACAAAGCAAGATGTAAATATTGGAATGCCTTTTAAAGGGGAAAACTTACAAAGTTATAATTCTATCATAACCACATTGAAGCTATTGAGACCGTTTTACGAGCAATCACTTGCACAGGGATCCCATTGTCAATTTCTTCTCTTCACTCCAGTTGTTGATTGCATGTCCATTATTCCATCATCAAATTCAGAGTTGTATAGAGAATTTATTCAAACAAGGTATAATATGTTTTAGATTCAAAGAAAAAGGCTTGAAAAGCCGTACCATCTTCCTTGTTTGTTGGCAATTGAATGAGATATTCTACCATGAAACCACAAAAGCCTAAGAATTGGTGGAAGAGTTGATCTGTTGGTTAATTCCAAGTAAAATTCAATGCTTTCCTCGCTACTGCAAAATGTGTGTACAAATAATCTATGGCACCAGGATCTATACGTTTCAAGAAAAATTGAAAGGACTGCAGCCATAATTTATGCTAGTGTAGCTGCAGTGCTCTTGTCAATGGGAAAAGCATGTTCTCAAAATGTTGCAGTTCACAGAGTCATAAGGAGTCCAGACTCCAGATTTCATCATTAACAGTTTGCAAAGTAGCAAGTCGCAAAAACACCATAATCTCTAACCTGAAATGGAATAAATTCTTTGCTTTAAGTTATGATTCAATATGAAATTAAACTGATCAAATTTATAAATTGATTAAAGGCACATATGACTTCAAAGTAATAAGATAAACCTAGAGAAACTCTGGTGTAGGTTCTAACAAGAGAGAGCCACTGAAGAAATAACAGTTCAGTTTGCACAACAGATCAGGCATTTGGTACAGTAACCCTGAAGAAATTTCAACAACCATGATTGAAAATGTGTCAATATAGATTTTTACAGATCATTCCTTAACCAAGTAAAGAAGAATATCCTTTTAGCTAAACTTATATTTAACTTTTATTGGTGAATCATAATCACTAGAGTGAAGTAAAATCCTGCCAAAATAAAATCAAATCTTAATTAAAAAGATGATTTTTAGTTTCACAACCCACCTTTGTAGGGCAGTCCACTTAAACTGGCAATCTGAGATAGCTCAAGACTTTGATCAGCACGACAAATGTCTATATACCAGTAAACTTGCACCTCAAAATGTGGTCAGAATTCGAAAACTACATAGCTGTGGAATAGCTAAATCTGTTTATGAGCCTCAACAACTCAAAGAGAGGACTACTCATCTGGTTGGGTCCCTAGTGTGAAAACTCCCTCCACTCGTCATGATATTTTTTTGGTTTCAGATCAGGAAAATTAGATTGCCTGTAATTAGATTAAGGAACATAGTTGAACAAAACTGAATTGAACAAAGAAAAACACAAAAGAAAAAAAAAAAAACATATTCAAAATCTAAAAGTTGGTTTATAGACAAAAGAAAGCAGACCTCAAAAATGAAAGCTTTTGATTGTTAGTCTTGGTAGTCTTCTACTCCTTTAGAGATTTACAGTTGGCTAATCTAAGCATTTGATTATGCATTAGTTCACAATTAGACCATGGCTACTCAAAGAATTATGAAAATAACATAGGACCTATTGGTAAAAAAACATAGCTATGGAATTGGAATGAAAATAAAAATGAACAGAAGGATTGCAGAAAGGAATTCAGGAACTCACTAGCTTTAGAGGAACCGTGAGGCCTGAGCAGATGCGCATAATTATTTAGATCCATAAATCAAAATCAAAATCAAAATCTGCATGAATCACCGAAATTTGGTCAAAGACTACAACTTGATTATTTGAATAACATAATATGTTTTAGAGTAGAGGACGTGTTTTTTTTCCAAAGTAAAAGATTAAAAAGAAATGCTTAAATGATGTGGAATGAAGGGATTAGGGTTCCAGAAATTAAACATACCATTGGAGGAATAATGGTAATCCCCCTGTATTTGGATATTGGGGATGTGGGAGATCTTGGACCATTCGGGGCCCCTCTTTTTGGCGCATCTTTTCTTCAATTTCGGACAACACCAAATTTTAAGATATTTTAAGTTGCAGAGGCCTCGCATGGCTTCAATAGAAGGCAGATGAGTCAAATTAGAGCATTTCCCAATCTCCAGCCGATGAAGAGAAGAGAAGTCTCCCAACCACTCTGGCAAAGCTTCCAGGCTATTGAAATCAGTTAACCTCAATTTCTTGAGGGCAGTGAGATGTCGAAGCTGATGTGGCAGAGACTTTAGTTTATCCCATCCGGACAAAATCAATAATTCAAGCGAGGGGTGGAATTGATGAATGGAGGTCAATCCTGGGAATTCCTCCAACTCCGACCAAAAAGGACCAAGGCTTAACTCCTTGAAGCGGGTGAGGCTATCTAGCCATTCCTCTGGAAGGCTCCTTAGATTTTCGCAAACTGCTATTTCAAGAATTCTGAGAGAACGCAATTTCTTGATATCGTCAGAAATGGAAATTAAATTAGGGCAAAATTGAATTTCCAACTTCTGAAGTGAAATGCAAGAGTCCAGCCCAATTGGAAGACACGTTAATCCATCGCAAAAAAAAAGGGAGAGGTCTTCAAGAGATGTCAACCCATTCATACTTGGAATGGAGTTCAGATTTTGGCAACATCCAATTCGCAAGAACTGAAGAGAGATGCAGGATCCAAGCCCAATTGGTAGACTTGTTAATCCACCATTGCCACTGAGCTCAAACGTTTTAAGGGTTGAGAGCCCATCTAAAGTAGGGATAGCCATCAGTTTCTGACACTGCGCTATCAACAGCTCAGAGAGCTTATGATGAGATGAAAATCCGCCCATCGACAAAGTCTCCAACAAAGGACAATTTTTAATCCACAATTGCACAAGGCAAGGAAACACGATCACACCTTGGCTCCCTACAGCTGCATCCTCAACAACTTCCACCCATTCTTCTAGCCTTTCCATGCCATCTACAGTGAGTGTTTGCAAAGCTGGGAACAATCTGATTGATTCTGCTCCGCCAGGCTGAAGCTTGTGACCCATTCTTCTAACATTTTCCATTCTTCCAATGCAAAGAACCTTGAGAAAAGGCAATAGTCCCAAACTCGGAATACACGTGCACTCATTGCAACTAGTTAACTGCAACTCCACCATGTTGTCAAGAAGGAATGAAGAACCAGAACTATTGACATCATTCCCCATCCAAGATGGGAACATATTTCCTTTGTAACCATCAATAGTGAGGCTTTTCAAATTTGACTGAGGTTGAAGGCTTTCTAGAACCTCTTCATCGTTGTTGTTGACTGCTCTTTCATTCCCACTACTCCAGCATAATTTCAATTGATGCAATTTTGTCTTTTCTTTTAGATTTGCTTTAGAAGCTTCCAATTTGGATCTGACATGTTCAAGCTTCCGAATCTCTAGTTTTCCTCCAAGTTGGCTTAAGCATCCAAGGTCTTCAATCCGGCATCCCTTTTCTGTGCCCACAACAAAGTGTGATAATGTTCGAAGGGAAGTTAACTGCAGCATCAATATATCACTTGGACAACTAGAATAGATATGCCTCAAGCTGATGAGATTTGCCATGCCATTGGGAAGCTTTTCAAGAGTACGGTTAAGAAAATTTGAAGTCTGCAAATTATAGAGCTCGGAGAAGGATTTTGGTACTGTTCTGACATAAGCTTTTGACATGTCAAAGTACCTCAAATGCTTCAATTTGCCAAGAGAAGCAGGCAACTTTTTCTGACCTCCCTCTAATTTCAAGGATCGCAAGCTTTTGAGATCTGACGCCATGCTACAAAAAACATCAACATGTGAAAACAAAGAATGCAGCCTTTGAGCAACACTTCTTGGAATGGTTAGAAGATCCTCTCCCTTGGACTTGACTCTCAAATGTCGAATAGTACTACAATTCTGAACATCAAAATTGCAGCTAGTGTCCCAAACCAAGGTCTTACCTTTTGAAACAAGCAATGAAAGATCATGCACTAGATCATGCATTTTGCAAGATTCAATATTCCCATACAAATCCCATCCAATATCTTGGAATAAAGAATTAGATAACAACTCCTTGAAATACTGATTACCAATATCCTCCATTTCCACAAGGCTTTCATTAGATTTGTGAACAAACCCCTGAGCCACCCAAAGTTGAATTAAATCATCGATGAAAATGACAGCATCCTTTGGAAAAATTGAACAATAAGAGAAGCACTTTTTTAAGGATGAAGGCAAACGATCAAAACTCATTTTCAATATAGATAAAATCTTCTTATTTTCATCTTGCAAAATCCATGCTTTATCATCTAAGATCTCTTGCCACTTATCTGTCTTCATTTCACGACTCAATGTTCCTCCGATTACACTTGCAACTAATGGCAACCCCCCACATCTTTTGGCAATTTCTTGTCCAATACCTTCTAAATCCAAAGGTATTGAAGTTTCTGTTGATGATCTGAGAACTATGTCCTCAATTATCAACCAGCATTCATGATCTGATAGCTTTACCATATCATGTTTTTGCATTGGAAGTGCCTCCATTATGGATGCTACCTTATCACTACGAGTTGTCACAAGAATGGAGTTTCCACTGGTTTTTAAAATTTTTAACAAACGAGAATTGAAACTATCCCACTTGCCTCTATCTTCATTCCACACGTCATCAAGAACTAGAAGAAATTTTCTATTTTCTAGCTTCTGCCCAAGTTCCTGAATAAGTGCCCCTATATTATTCATTCGACCAACAGAACTATCAAGGTATTCTAACATATCTCCTAATATTCTTTTTTCATCAAATTCCTCAGACACACAAACCCAAGCTACCAGGTCATACAACTTTTGTTCTTTTACCATACTGCAAATTGACTTCGCTAATGTTGTCTTGCCTATGCCCCCAAAGCCTACCATTGAAATGCCAGAGAGGATATGTTGACTCCTCATGTTATCCAGCTTGTTGACAATTTCTAAGACATCATTATGCCTTCCTACAAATTTGGAACAATCAGGGATGGGATCTGTCTCAGGATATTGCCTTGCACCAGCAGTGGAATGACATTGGTCACTAAATCTGATTGACAGATACAAAACCCCTCGGTTGTTGATTTCATCCAGAGTCTTATTAATTTTCCTAATCTTATCAGCCATGCTAAGACGAAAGGCAGTGCGATTGAAAACACCAAAGAAAGTGTACACCTGTTTCATCTTTCGACCTTGAGTCTGAACTTTGTGCTTAAGAACCTCATACTCGTACTCACCCAGTACATCCACCGCATCATCAGCTACATCTGTGAGGCGCTGTAACCAATTCCTTATAGCTGGATCGCTTTCTTGCCTCTTTTCAGCATCTTGAAGCAATCCTTGGATCATAGTCAGTTTTTGAGCAAGCTCCCCCAGCTCCTTCTCCAGACCCCATGCCGTGCTGATTTGTGCAGCAGAAAATGAAATTGCTTTAGGAACTGCAATCTCTATGATTGGGCTGACGAAGTTGAGGGCGAGTTCAGCCATTATGCTTAGAGAATCAGAGAAAAATGGCTAGCACAATTAAACTCTGCAACAGAAAAGGGGAAATAGTGTTGAGAGAGCAGAGATTGGAGCAGCCACTGGACTAAAAATATGTTGAAATGTTGATGAAGAATCTGCAAATAAAACGTAATCACTTACCAGATCTGATCCTAAAATGCTTAGCCACACAGAAAGATAGCAAACGCAAGAGAAGCCTGAGAGACAAACAGAGATGGTGTTTGTGAGAGAACTGAGCACAGATAAGGAGGGATTGAAACGCAGCCCTGTTTTTATAGAGGAAAGACACCACTGTAGCCATACGCGCATATGTTTCTGTGATATTTCCTATATTTGTTTTTTCTTACTTTTTCTTTCTCGTCTAGTAGTGCTTGTGTTTTCCTGCTTTGCTTTTTCTTGTTTTATTCCTTCTTATCGGGTGCTTCTCTTTTCCTGCTTTCTGCGACCATGTGAATACATGACCAAAGCCGACTGTCCCATTTCTTTGAAAGTTCTAATTTTCTGTTCTTTACAAATTAAAATACATGACCATGTGAATAACGATTAACATTTGTTGCTTACTTGACAAAGCTAAAAATATATACATATATAAAAAAAGCTTGTTACCTTTAATTATAAAATTTGTTATTTCGTATATCATCAATTAATTTAAATTAGATGTTTTTTTTGTTTAAATATTCATAAAATTTTTACATTATGCTTAATAATTAAAGATAATTAGTAAAATACTTAAAAATATTCATAAAAATATATATAATTCAAAACTCAAAAGAATATATAGAAGTAACACCTTGTCTTTAACATAATCTTTTTACAAAAAAATTAGTTTTTTTATTAATCTTTAATATATTTAGTGCAAAAATATTATACAGTTGAAATGATAAAGTAGATGAAGTGACCTTCACTTATTATTAAGAACCCTTCATCATCGAAACGTTTTACTCCAAATTACAAAACACCTTTTCGATCTTTAATTTTATGAAAGAAATCAACCTCAATTATGTGTTGCACCTTCTGCTGGGCCATGAGAAATTTAGTAAAAGGCAAGAGCAATGCTAGGGGCACTTGCCTCCTGCACTCTCCGGCCAACACTTTCTCTTTTATTGGGCCACGTTATTTTGGTTTCCGAAAGGTTGCGCTGAAAGCTTTTTTAAAGAAGCTTACGTGGCCCAACAAAAGGGGAAGTGTTGGCCGGAGAGTGCAAAAAGCGAGTGCCCCAAGCATTGCTCAAAAGGCAATAGGATGTTTATGTAATATATCTCATTCAATTCTTCTCGTTAGCTTTTCTTTAAGCACCTTTCAAGGAAAATTAACAAAATATATGTGTGATTTCTGTGATATTTTCTTTTGATGAAACAATTGATACTTCTCCTTTTCTCTGTAAAATTTCTAACAACAAAAATGATATCTTAATTTTTATTTTCGTAATTATTTCAACACTAATATACCTAATTATTTAGTTACGAGTTTACTTGTAATATTGTAAATATGACATTATAAATACTAAATAAATAAAAAAAACTTGTTACCCCATTCAACTGGTTGATTTTGACTTATGACAGCCAAAAAAACACAATTTTTTTTATTTTATTCTTTCTTTGAACCGAGCACAGATGAGGAAGGATTGAAATGCAACCCTGTTTTTACAGAGCAGAGACACCACTGTTGCCATACGCGCATATGGATTTCTGCTTGGCCAATGCAATTATGTTTCTGTAATATTTCTTATTTGCTTTTTCTTATTTTATTCTTTCTTGGAAATAAGCACAGATGAGGAGGGATTGAAATGCAGCCCTGTTTTTACAGAGCAGAGACACGGCTGTAGCCATACGCGCATATGGATTTCTGCTTAGCAACTGCAATTATGTTTCTGTGATTTTTTTTTATTTGCTTTTTCTTATTTTATTCTTTGTTATCTAGTAGTGCTTCTCCTTTCCTGCTTTGCTTTTTCTTATTTTATTCTTTCTTATCCAGGACTGCTTCTCCTTCCCTGCTTTCTGCCATCGTGAATAATTGACCAAAGCCGAGTGTCCCATTTATTTGAAAGTTCCAGTTTACCTTTTCTATTCTTTACAAATTAAAGTGAATTTCTTACCCTATTTTCCGTCACCTCTTTTGCTCTTTTTCCAATGTGAATAAATAGAATTTTCCATGACGTCTCTTTTTGCTGGAGGTAAGCTTCTGGGAAATGTTCCTCTGTTTTTCCTTCTATTACTTTCTAAAAGGTAAATTACTGGCACTTGTCTTTCGGATCAGTGACCTCAGTCACGAATAAGTGCATTTTCTTACGCTCAGGTGGCAGTTTGAATTCGATTTTTTATAAATTTATTAAAAAAAAAGTAAATTATTGAAAATATTTTCACATTATTTTTTTATTTTGTTGATAAATTATAAGTATAATTTTCAAAAGAGATTAGTGTTTATATTTTTATACTACTTAAAAATTAAGATGAACATTACATTAAAATTATATTGTTTTAAATAAAGGATCAAAAGAAAATTAAGATAAAAAAATTTAATTAATATTTTAAAAATATGATTTTTAGTTTCTTTTAAATAAAAATTTATTAAAATGAGATAATATTTTTCACACTTCTCTTTTCCCTTTTCTCTTTTCTTAAATATAAAGATTAACACTTGTGGCTTAGTTGGCAAAGCTAAATATATATATATATATAAATAAAACTTGTTACTTTTAATTATAAAATTTGTTATTTTACCTATCATCATCAGTTGGTTTAAATTAGATGATTTTTTGTTTAAATATTGATGCATTAAAATCATCTTAACAAGTGAATTAGTTATTTCAAGTAATATAATGATGAGAGAGTGTCGAACCTACAATAATTATGTCTAATTAAGTATCAAAATAATTAATTTAAATTTATTTGAATTATCGAAAAAAAAGAAAGTTTAACTAAAAATAATAAAAGAAAAATAACAATTAAATTAAACCTAACCAATATATGAGGTATTAAGACGTTAATTTCATCATAATCAATTAATATAAATTATGGATTAATATACTAATTTGTTGAGTGTTATTGCATGTGATGCTCTAAATTAATTAACTAACTTTCTCAAGTTAAGTTAATCATTCACTTGTTTGTTAAATTAATTATATTTCTATATAATTTTAAACAAACTAATGAGTATTAAATTCTATGGAAACCACTAGCTTAAGAAGGGGAGCTCCTAACTCTTTTTTTTTTTTCCTTTACTATCGCATGTGAGCTAATTACCTCTCAGTTTCATAGTTTAGCATACAATTTATATTATTATTGATCTAATTTATACAATTCATTCTCAAATTCATGTATAAATTACTAAATCAATCGAAAGATGATCAAACTTTTAATGCATTAAGTTCAATAATTTAAATTCTTCTTGCAAATAACTTTAATTAAAACTATAAAATCACAAAATTTATATTGAATTGATTAGGTTACATCGTAACCTTAATAGAACAAATTAGTTCATAATAAAAATAATAAAATTTAAAATCATAATTATAAATATAAGAATATCAAAAAAAAATAAAATTTAATTTAAGGTAATTGAAATCATTGATTTTCTATTGTTGATGAATCTTTTATCTTGATTTTTAAAAATGCCCAAGAAAAG